TATAATCAGATTTCAGAAATATGCTAATCCCTTCATCGATCTGTGTCTGGGCAGACGCCTTGTTTGGAAAAGTTCCAAAATGCACGACGTGTCCTAAAAAACATGTGTGCAATCTCGGAACTGTTTTTCATAACCTTAGACAAGTGAAGGAGTGGTTTGTTGAAGCTCAGTGAACTAAGTATATACCTATTCTGTATTGTACAGCTGAACCAAACAGTCAACTACATGCTCAGTGCCCTGATTACGTAACCGTTTTCATTTTCATGTGAAGAAATTGTAGGTCCGGTGGTTTATCACCGGGGTGGTCCGAGGACTTGAGGTGGNTTGAACAGACGACTGTTGTGCCTACCAATTAATGACATTTCGGAAATCTCCGCCGATGTGAACAGGTAAGGGTGACCAGAGGTGGTCAATTGTGTCTTTCGACGAATTTCTGACCAGAATTTCTCAAGAGTTTCTCTTCTAAAAGTAATGAGTCAGGCTTTTTTTGTGAATGATATGATGAGGAGATAAGGGGAGTTGTCATGCTGCTGAGGAGATGCTTTAGATTGAATCAAGTGTATTGAAGTTCTATTTCTTTATGTTTTTCAAAATTCTTTATCGATTATGATCCGTTCTTCATTACCCCTCAGTATCTTACAGATTTTCAAGTACCGTCACTTCGCATCTCACAACAGAGAGACATGAACTTCATGTTTAACTTGTATCATACTTTCTCTCACACTCTAAATCAATCTATAAAACAGGAGCTCGAGAATGTCGAATGGTGAGCTCGCCTTCCATGATTTCACAATCTGTATTCAGGACTGTGCAATTCGCTTTGGAAAACAAAATTGTCAAGGTTTTGATAAGTAACAAACCAATTGGAAAGATAACCTGCCCATTAGTTCCCTGGACTGTAACTTTCGATGTATCTCTTTCAAATATCTTCAATGTACAAAACCAGGATACTTATGTATGTGAGAACTTCCTCATCGAACGGTTGTTGCTTTTCAGCAGGAAAAGCATGTTGACAAGAAAAATTATGTTTTTAACGAAAATTATTGTTGTGTGCGTTTAGTTTACTTTGTTCAACCAAACGATAAGTCGTTTAACATAGAGATCTCCAACATCATAACGAAAGGA